CAACTCAAAAACAACCCTGTGAAGCATCCAGATCATGATGTGGTGGCAACACCAGCTGCAGGGCAGGGAGATGATGGGGAGCTATCACTGGAGCAAGTGATCTTAGGTGAGGCAGGCACCCCTGGACTGGGTCGGTCCACACAGCCTGAGTAGACAAGCCTTATCAGCCACTGGCCAGTGGGTGCCAAGGCCTAGAGTGATGGGACAAGAAACTGATGGCCATGGGAACGGCCCCAGGATGGGAACTGCAGACATTTAGAAGCTGACCCAGGCATTCAGAGCGGGCCCTGCCCAGCACCAGGCTTCTCTCTTCCTGCATACTACTGGGTACTGGACTCAAAGCACAGATGTCTCACTTTGGGGCCTGTGACCATGAGAGTCTAGGTCCAGATGCTGTACTGATGCTACCAGGGAGCTTGTCTGTTACTTCTGTTTACGATGCCCAGGCAAAGCTCTTTTACTTTCTTCAAGATCCCATCTGCTCTATCTGTCACCTGAATCCTAGGGCTCCTCCTGGTTCCCATCTTTCCAAATGTCTGCTGAGTCCTGGACAAGGACGGTTGATCACACAACCTCCATTCTAGGATGGCTATCATAACCCTGAGAGGAATCGTTTGGGCCTCTTGCAGGAGCTGGCATCATCAGAAATCCCATGCTGAGAACAAAATGTCACTGTGCAAAGGCGGCTGGCATACTCACCACAGATTTCCTTCGGGGCTGAGGCTTGGCCCTGCCCCATTAGAGGCATTGATCCCACCTTCCCTGCGGCTGCAGCCTGCGAGCTGCCCTGGGCAAAGGCAGGTCTCCCCACCCTAGTCAGCCTTTCTGAGAAGTAGGCTGTGTTTCCCTCGGGAATTCAGCTTTTAAAGCTTTCCATGGGGGCTGGAGAATTGGCTCAGGGGTTAAGAGCAGTGTCTGCTCTTCCAGAGGTTCAATTCCCAGCACCCACATGACAGTTCACACCTGTCTATAACTCCAGTTTCAGGGGATCCGACACCTTCACACAGATATGCATGGCAAAACCACAAATGTATATGAAATTTAAAAAAGAAGGAAAAAAAAAAGGCTTTCCACTTCCACATAGGCTAGACAAACTGAAATCTTACTATGGCCAGCTGAGTGAGACACAATAAAATGTTCTGAAGTGGAAAAGTGTGATTGTTGGCTAAAAAGATGTCAGGTTATCGAACAATGTGTAGAATGTTCTTAACCTAGTATGAAAAAAAAAAGTATGGGGTTGGGGATTTAGCTCAGTGGTAGAGTGTTTGCCAAATGAGCACAAAGGCCCTGGGTTCGGTCCTCGGTTTGGTGGTGCTGGATGGGTGGGTATGAGAGATGGCTTAGTGTGGTGGTGGTGCACGCCTTTAAACCTGGCACGCAGGAGGCAGAGACAGGCAAATTTCTATGAGTTTGAGGCCAGCTTAGTCTACAGTATGCACTCCAGGACCACATCTCAAAAAAAAACAAAAACAAAAACAAAAACAAAAAAGAGGTGGGGGTGCTGAAGAAATGGCTCAGCAGTTAGGAGTACTTACAGAGGACCTGAATTCAGTTCCCACTAATCACATGGTGGCTCACAACCATCTGTAACTCCAGTTCCAAGGGATCTGCTCCATTCTAACTACCATGGACACCAGACATGTACATGGTGCACATGCATATGTGTGGCAAAACACTCATGCATATTAAAAAAAAAAAGTATGGATCCCAACTATAGAAGTGGGGTGACTGCTGATCTCCAGCACGGCAGTATGTCACCAATGGAGGACTCTCTTTAAAACAGCTAGAGAAGCCAAGTGTGGTGGCACACACCTACCAAACCAGCTCTCAGAGGCAGGAGGGAGGAGGCCATCCTGGGCTACACAGTGAAACCCTGGCTTAAAACAAGCAAACAAGCAAATAAATAAATTAATAAAAATAAAAAGAGGAGGCCGAGTGGTGGTGGTGCACACCTTTAATCCCAGCACTCGGGAGGCAGAGGCAGGTGGATCTCTGTGAGTTTGAGGCCAGCCTGGTCCACAGAGCAAGTTCTAAGACAGGCTTCAAAGCTACACAGAGAAACCCTGTCTCAAAAAAAATAAATAAAATAAATTAAAAATTAAAAACAAACAAACAAATAAATAAAAAGAGGAGCCACAGTGTTCCCAATACTCCAAAACAAGTATTGTAAGAAACAAATAACAAAAAGCTAAGTGCTCTGGTCTGATTGCTATATCATACACCTGTGCTAAAATACTGTATCGTGTCCTACTAGCAAGAATAAATCTTCTGCATCACTGAAAAAATATGTGTACAGAGAAGGGCCCAGGGGCTCTGTATGCAGACCCGTGTGATGATCTTGAGGTCCGCCTGCACATCCCCTGTGGAATATGCAGACTCTGCAACAGCCGAGGCTCTGTGAGTTACTACTGAGACCCTCCAGCTGAAACAGGGGCAGGGGGAATTGTCACACCTTCTTCACTAGCCCTGCATCTAAAAGTACGTCATGAGGAATTCAGTGGCATCTAGGCTACAGCTCCTGCTTGCTTGTCCCAGGTCTGGTGACAAGACTACAGTGAATCCCGCCAACGCCAACCCCACACCCCCACCCCGCCCCACCTGGGATCATGTGATGCTGCCACAGTTCTCATCCACGTGAGGCCCTTACCTGTCAACTGAGAATAAAACTTGGATACTTCCAACAGCGAAAGCACATAAACCACAGGACTGGAGAACACTGCGATCAGCAGTGGCCCAAGGAATGTCCTGGGAACGACTCCAGGAAACTCGTGGTGGTCGTACTGCAAGGAGAAGGGGCGGTCAGCACAGAGCTGGGGAAGTAGAGCAGGTCTCAGCGCCAGGCCGCAGCCTCACCTTGTCTATGTCCAGCTGGTGGTACAGTAGGTCATGTGTAGCCTGTAGGTTGAAGCTTTCCTCTACCTTGGTATAGGGACAGGCCACAAGGTGGATGGCAGCTACCGTGACCAACAGCCCCAGAAACAGCAGTGGTTGCCCGCCGGATGATTTCTTTTTCCTTTTCTTCTTTTTTTGGTTTTTCGAGACAGGGTTTCTCTGTGTAGCCTTGGCTGTCCTGGAACTCCCTCTGTGGACCAGGCTGGCCTCAAGCTGACAGAGATCCTCCTGTCTCTGCCTCCCGGGTGCTGAAATGAAAGGTGTGCCGTCCGACTTGCCTGATGATTTCTTGCCAGCCATGTGGGGCTTTAAACTTCATGTACCTTCACAGAACCGAAGACAAGAAGTATCGAACATTAACACTGTCGCCCTATATATCCCGACAGAACAGAATCACGGCTCCTAAACCTCCGGACTCTGCTTGAGATCACACCGGTAAGATGTGGGGGGAGAGGAAGCAATGGCCCTTATGATGGCTATTCTTTGTCAACTTTACATCTGGAATTAACTAAAACCCAAGCAGCTGATACACCTTTGGGGGGCTGTTTCTTAAGTAAATCTTCTGAGGCGGGAAGCTCCACCTTTAGTCTGGGCCACACCTGCTGCTGGCTGCCTACATAAAGAACACATGGAAGAAGAAGGCTTGCTCTCTTTGCCTGTTTGCTCTTCCTCACTCTCGCTGGCAAGTCCATTCCTTCATTGGCAATAGAGCCTACTTCCTCAGGGCTCCAGTGTATACTGAAGACCATCTGAAACACTCAGCCCTGTGGACTGAATAACTACTGGACCCTTGGATCTTCCGTTGGTAGACAGCCATTGTTGGACTAGCTAGACCACAGCCTGTAAGCCATTCTCAAAAATCCCCTATATACATACGAATATATGTAAGTATACACACACACACACACACACACACACACACACACACACACACACTTATATTTCATTCTTTCAGTTCTGTTCTTAGAGAACCCTGACCAACACACCTTTTTAATTTTTTGAAAATTATTTTTTATGTGTATGGGTGTTTTGCCTTCATGTATACCTAGGCATCTGATCCCCTGGAATTGGAGTTACAGATAGTTGTGAGGCGATATGTGGGTGCTAGGAATTGAATCTTGGTCCTCTAAAAGAATAGTCAGCATTCCTAACCACAGAGTTCTCTCTCCAGCCCCAGCCCTTTGAAATATAATAATTCTCATAATTCCTATTGTCTTGGTTAGGGTTTATATTGCTGTGATAAAACACCATGACCAGGAACAGCTTGGGGAGAAAGGGGTTTATTTCATCTTACAGTCCATCATCCGAGGAAATCAGAGGCAGGAACCTGGAGGGAGGAACTGATGCAGAGGTCAAGAAGGAGTGCTGCTTACTGGCTTGCTCCTCATGGCTTGCTCAGCCTGCTTTCTTATAGCACCCAGGACCACCAGCCCAGGGATGGCACAGCCCACAGTGAGTTGGGCTCTCTCACATCATCAACCAAGAAAATGCTCCAAAGGCTTTCATCACCTCTGCATGAAGGCATGTCATGAGGACTTTAGTGGAATGTAAATAAAGCACAGCTGGCATTTGCTTGTCCTAAGTTTGGCTGCATGGCAACAGAGGGTCTGGCCAACACCCCACCTGACTACGGTCACCTGTGTTAGACACAATAGAATGTACTGAACTGGAAAGTGTGATTGTTGACTAAAAGAAAAATGTCAGGTCATGGAACACTGTTCTCAACCCAGCATAAAAACAGGGGCATGGTGATGCACGCCCTTAACTCCAGCACTTGGGAGGCTGAGACAGGAGGAACTAGAGTTCAAGGCCAACCTGGGCAACTTGGTAAGAGCACAAAGCCCTGGGTTCAATCCCCAGAACCACATAAAACCCAGCTGTGCTAGAAAATATGTGTATCTCCAGCACCTAGGAGGTAGAGGCAAGAGGATCAGAAGCTCAAGGTCATCCTTGGTTCCAGGCCAGCCTTCACTATGTGAGACCCAGTCTCAAAAGAGGAGGGAGGGACCCACGTCACTGAGGCAGCAGCAGTCCAACCATCTGCTCCTCATACCTTTGAAGGAAACCCAAGTTTTAGGGTGAATATTATCCACAGAACTCACCTGATCCTCCTCCCTCCCAGCCAGGGCACTTCCTCACAGCCAGATAGGGATGCTTTCTGCTGAGGACCAACAGTAGCTATTTTCAAAGACAACAGAAGACCAGAGTGAGTTGGAATGCTCAACTAGAAGCAAAAAACAACATAAGATATTCACCAGTACAAAAAAAACCACCTACCACGGGAATGGGGGGAGCTGCTGGGCAGACAGATGGCTAATCGCCTTCCAGCAGCCAAGTTCAAAAAGGCCATACTGTTAGCAAATGTGACTGGAGAAGGAGGGCACCTCAGATTAGGTAGTACCCTTCAAAGATCCTGTTGTCCCTGTCAATTGGGATTCCAAGGCTTCCGCGGGAATTGTCGGAATCATTCGTTCAAATTGTGGCTTTAAGCTGGAAACATAAATGATCTGGTGCAAATGAGGCCTACTTGTCAACCAAAGACCAGATGAAACCGCATTATTTGTACAAACAGGTGTTCTCTAAAATCTAGATAATGCATATTACTTCTCAATCAAGTCATTCAAAAATCGTTAGGTCACTGTGTGCCCGCTGCCTGAGGCCCCCCTGCGGAAATACTGGGCCCCCAAACACATTGAGCCGGTCCCCAGGAGCAGAGCTTAGTTTACAGGTGACAAGGCGGCCGCCCGGTGAGGAGGGTGGGGGAAGGCTGAAAGGTCCAGGCCTCGGGTGCGATGGCCAGCCCCCAGGGACATGCTCCGCCCCTAAGTCCGATCCCCAGGTGAGGTGTTCAGCCCCCCCGGTGAGGAACTCAAAGGCCGTCACGCTCGGAAGAGCCCCAGCCTCGCCACCTCCCGAGTACCTCAATCCCCACGGCGAGCGCTGAACTCTTCAGCTCACTCTCCTCTCTCGTCCTGACCCCTCGGAGTTTAGCAGACTGCCCTCAGCAGGAAGCGGGCGGCGGAAACGCAGCCCAGAAACGAAGTCCTCGCCCAAACTTAATATGGCCACCATCGCCCAGACTGGCAACCGAGGAAGGCGCGCTTACTTCCGGCCCGGAGTAAAGATGGCCGCCGCGGGCCTCGAGTAGGGGGCGGGGCACGAGGACAGGTTAAAAGCCTGCGGTCCTGCCCCTCTCTCGCGGGATGCTGACCCGGGGCCTTTTCATTGGCCGCTGCCCGTGGCGAGCTTGAATTGGTCCACATCAGGCAGGGCGTATTCCTCCGGCCAATGGGAGCGCGCCTGCTGAGAGCTGGGCGGGGCCTCGGCGATGCGGTGAAGTAGCCCGGGGAACGGCCGGCGCGCGGGCCGGTGGGCGGAGGCCGAGACTCCACGGTTCCTCGCCGGTCGCCCGGCAGTCCGCCCGCCATGCACCTGCCCCCCGCTGCCGCATTCGGGCTGCTTCTGCTGCTGCTGCTGTCGCCGCCGGCGGCCATGACCTCCCGAAAGCCTTCATTGTGCCAGAGGTGCCGGACGCTGGTGGACAAGTTTAACCAGGTGGGCGGGCGGCGGGCCCGGGGCAGCGGCGCAGGGCGGGGGCTAAGCGGGGTTCACAGCGGACCACCGAGCCGGTGCCACCTCCTCCGCAGGGGATGGCCAACACGGCCAGGAAGAATTTCGGCGGCGGCAACACGGCGTGGGAGGAGAAAACTCTTTCCAAGTACGAATTCAGGTAGGTGCCCGAGACCTGCGCGGATCGGCGGCCAGGAACTGCAAATCTGCAGTCGGACCTTGGGGTTTGTGCTAACCACCGGCACACGGAAGGGGTCCTTAGATGGTGGACACTTGTCCTTGGTTATACCTGCCTCTGGCCACTCACGACACTTGTCCTTGGTTATACCTGCCTCTGGCCACTCACTGGCCTTACAGCCTTCCACACTCCCTACAGCCACTTCTGCGCGCGCGTAGTGTATACACACGCACACCCACACGAAGGCTTTTTGAAAACGCAAACTGGAACCCCCAGCCCTCCTAGGGACGGAATGAGCTCTCCTTCCCGTGCTGTGGTGATGGAGGCACCTGCTATCCGTTGGGTCCCTTGCACATCCCAAGTTAGCTTCCCTTTCCTGACTAACCCTGCCCGTGGTTGTGGAGGGTCTCCTCGTCACTAGTCTCTAAGTGGGGCATGTCTAAAGTGAGCAGGCTGGTGCTTTGGGGTGCTGGTGCTTTGGGGTGCTGACAGGTTATGTTTCAGTGAGATTCGGCTCCTGGAGATCCTGGAGGGCCTGTGTGACAGCAGCGACTTTGAGTGCAACCAGCTCTTGGAACAGCAGGAGGAGCAGCTAGAGACCTGGTGGCAGACACTGTGAGTGTTCAGGACCTGCCTTCTGATCGGTAGTTTTCAGTCACTTCCCAGTAGAGAAATTACAGAAGCATTAGCAGTCCTACGTCCCTGTCCCATTTTACCCACTTATTACCATCGTTTCTTACCAGAGCACAGCTCTTAGAGTCAGGAAGCTTGCAAAGAGGTCCTGTGCACACCTGACCCCTGCTTCCCCCATCGCACAGCTTTGGGGCCTTGCACGGTGCCTCCTACCCCAAATCACCTGAGGTAGATGAGATAGGTCTCGTCACAGTGTATCATATTCTGTTTTGATATTGTGGATCCCTTACTATGCCTCGTTTACAAATTAAACTTCCCCACCAGTATGTTCGTAAAGGCCTATAGTGTATTTAGGGTACGAAACTGTCCAAGGCTTCAGACATCACCTAGGGGTGTTCTTGTGTGTGCCCCACCACTGAGCCATGCCCCCAGCCCAGCATTTCATGGGATTTAATGACCATTTCTAAATCCTCAGGAAGAAGGAGTACCCTAGCCTATTTGAGTGGTTCTGTGTACAGACACTGAAAGCATGCTGTCTTCCGGGCACCTATGGGCCACACTGTCAGGGTACGTTTTTTTCTTGGGAAACCCCAAGTCTGCATCTTTCCTGTTACTCCTCTCTGACTCTCTCGTGTTTAAAAGCACAGAGGGGACTTGACCTCATCATCTTTCTGTGGAGTTGGGGACCCTGCTTCTTTCCGCAGCTGAGTAGCTATCCACCCCCATTCTGGTGCTGGGAGCCTGGACCATGGGCTCCTGCATCACTGCTAACTTTAGGAAAGTTCCTCTTTTGCACTGTAGAGCTCAGAGCCTCTGGTCCTAATGTGTTTTTAGGGCAGGGATCGTGGACTCAGGAGCTCGTGTGTACTCCAGAGACCTGTTGGTGAGGAGTTGGGGGTGGTAGGCATGCTTAGCTGGCCCTGGCCTTTCCTTCTACACGAAGTGAGCTTTGAGACCAGACTCAGTCATGTAGATCAGGCTGGGTCTGGTGGCAGCAGTTTCAGTTTCAGACATGCATACGGGCTGAGATGCCTCCTGCTTGTCTCTCCCTGGCCGGGTGCTGAACACATCAGATTTCTCTCTGCCGGCACATAATGCGTTGTCCCACAGCTGGCTCCCCACAGGCGTTACAGTGTTGATCCTGCAGGCCCTGGGTAGTCAGTGTCTGTCTCTGGCCCTTTCCTTCAGCTTTCAGGCCCCCGTTTCCTCAGCAGGATTGGTGCCAGGTTTCAATTGTCAAGGATCCCAATGGCTGTTAGGCTGTGAGCATGTTGAGGTGCTGTGATTCTCCCTCCCTGTGTGAGAACAGCATGGCCACCCCTGGGGGCACGCTCCAAGCAAAGATTCATGTCTCCCCAGAATGCCAGGGTGGGTCCGAGAGGCCTTGCAGCGGGAATGGCCACTGCAGTGGAGATGGCAGCAGAGAGGGTGACGGGTCCTGCCAGTGTCACGTAGGATACAAGGGGCCACTGTGTATGGACTGCATGGATGGCTACTTCAGCTTGATGAGGAACGAGACATACAGCATCTGCGCAGGTAAGCAGCAGCACCCAGATTCTGTCCAGCTTGGTTTATGGTGAGGCTGTGGGGAGCGGCCCTCTGCCGAAACTGCATAGCTGGGAACAGAGGGCCTCTTGATCCCCTAACCCCAGGTGTCCAAGGCAGTTCAGGAGGACTAGAGGTGTGGCCTTTTTGAAGCATCCGTAAACTGCACCAGAAGGAAAAGTTACTTGCCGCTTCTTGTGGGCGTGACATGGAGTTTGAGTGCATATGTATCAGGTTCTGTCATGCCTGTGCCAAATGCCCTTGGGTTTTTCGACCTAGCACCTAGTAGTGGGCCATAATCCATATGATCACCTGGAATATTCTGATGAAAGGCTTGCTCCCAGCCTATGGCTGTTGCTTGAGGATGGACAGGTCCTTCAGTTTCCTGCCAGGTTTCCTTGGAGAGAGGAGGCAAGATACAGAGGCTAGGATGTATCCGCAGTCCGCCAAACAACTCGGAAGGGAGCCGACAAGAGATGGCTACACATGGAACCTGGACCCTTGGAGCACTGGCTCTACCAGCCCTCTTGTTTTTACCTGGTTGTCAAGGATCCCCGGGCAGGTGCTTCCCACGACTGAGGTCAGCTCTGCCTGTCAAATCACTGAGCAGAGCACAGGCCTCGCCAGCCTTCGGGGGCCCTGTAGTTGTGCCCGCACAGGGCGGTGTCCCTGGTTGAGTTCACACACTTTATGTTTTATGAATCCATGAGGGATGCTGCATGTAGAGACATCTTGCTCAGAATTAACGGCTGCTTATTTTCTTGTTTTCATTTTTTGTTATTTTCCCGCTGAGCTTAAATCCTCATTTCTAAAGTAAGCTTTCCTCTGTGTGTGGGAGGACGGGACCCTGTTCCCTGAAGGGCCCTCTCAATACAGCCTTTGCTTTTCAGCCTGTGATGAGTCCTGCAAGACATGCTCAGGTCCAACCAGCAAAGACTGTGTGGAGTGTGAAGTGGGCTGGTCACGTGTGGACGATGCCTGTGTGGGTAAGGAGGGTAATGGGTGGGAGGGGGAAAGGTTCCTTAGAGGAGGGGAGGGTACCGTCTCCCCCCCCCCCTGCAGTCTGACTCCCACCTTACGATACCTTTCATCTCTGCCCCTCAGGGCTGTGGAAGGCCACTCTTAGGGCCTGCATGTGGTTTGGATTAAGCAGGTGCCCCCACCACAACTGGTAGCACCACAATACCGGGCACGTGGCCCTGCCATGGCACTGGCTTGGTCTTCCGTAGCCCCAGGTGCCCGCCGCCGCCGCCCGCCCACCCGCCCTCCTCCCTCTGTTAGTTCTAGTTTTGGTTTCACCCCTCAGCAGCTGCTTGGCCTCAGGCAGATTCAGAACTCAGCCCCAAGCTGGTTTCAAGCCATGAGTAGGAGAGCGCAGGAAGGCGGGGGTGAGCTGGTGCAGAAGCGTGGGAGCCCTTTGCAGTCGGGGGTGGTGCCTCAGCCCTGCCATCTTGGCTCTGCTCACAGCCTTGCTGTTTTGTTCCAGATGTGGATGAGTGTGCAGCAGAGACCCCTCCCTGCAGCGACTCACAGTACTGTGAGAATGTCAACGGCTCATACACGTGTGAAGGTGACCAGAGTGTTGGGACCTGTCATCCTCCATAGGGCTCCTCTGTCTTCCTTCAGCTTGTGAGACTAGGATGACCTCTGTACGGTCTGCTTCAGCAACTGGGAAGGGGTGGCATCGGCAGTAGACATGGTGCAGAAAAACCGCACACCTCTATCCTCCAGTGTTTCGTACATCATAGTAATCTTGGAGCATGCTGCTGTTGCAGGCTCTTTGGTTTAAGTCACATCAGTCTTTTCCCTCGTAGGGAAAACTTTTCACTGTTTTTGGTTTGTTTTTTGAGACAGGATCCCTCTATGTAGCCCTGGGTATCCTGGAGCTCACCATGTAGACCATGTTAGCCTCAAACTCAGAGATCCTCTGCCTCTGCTTCCTAAGTTCTAGGATTAAAGGTGTGCATCACCATGCCCAGCTTAGAAAATACTTCACACTCTTTTTTGCTTTCCGAATTTGCTAGTCAAGGGTATGAGTATTTTAGGGTCTTAAGCAATTCACAGGGAGGCAGGGGCGAGGCTGCCACCCAGTGCCCGCAGGTCTAAGCTAGCAGGCTGCAGTGTCCTCTCAGTGAAATGTGACACTAGGACCATAGGGCCTGCAGTCTCCACGCGGCTGCTC